TTCAGTTGGTTGTCGGTACATTGAACAGTGTAGTAAATAGTGTCTATGGTCGAGTGTGTATTTAATAGTCTGTTTGTTCTACAAGTTAAATCTGCACATTTAATGCAAGTAGGTTTCTGTGTTCTATAGTTGCATATGTAAAAATATTAAAATAAGTCGCAGTATATATCACGGTCAATATTTAACAAAATGTTACATTGTTGATCATTGAACCAATTTCATGTCTAAAATTTGACACAGAAAGACTGTAATAATTGTGTTAAATAAGCTGTATAAGCTGAAACATTAATTTTATATTTTAAGTCAATATAAAATTTACTTTTCAGTTTTCAACTTTTAACTGTCTCTCTTGGCATACTTAAATTTAAGACATATAATGAAATTCTTCATCATTTATTGCTTTATTAGAAAATTCAGAAAGCAAATAGTCTTGTAGATTTACGTAATACGAATTTCTGTTAGCTCTGTTCATTCCACGGAGGTAGTAGAAAGATTTATTTGGTCCTTAGTGCATTATCAATAGCAGCAGAAAGAACAATTTGCGCAAATTATCTTTACCGAAGACATCACCAGACAGTAATGAGGAATCACGAGAAAATAAAGGCTAAGTAATTTAGTGAGAAAAGTTCTGAACATTGATGGAATAGGAGAAAACAGAAGATCTATTCAGCTCAACCTTCTATTATGAAAATTGATGCTTTCCAGCCACATTAGCACATTAGTGTTATAATATTGTCTTTCTCTGATCGTAGAAAGTTAGAATTCACATCAGCTAATATTAATGTAGAAGTAAATTAAGACGAACCGAGTTTCTTGTAGTAGAAGGTATTCGTTTTTGTTTGCCCGTACGACCTAAAAAATAGCAGGGTTCCACGAGTTATTACGGTGAAGTTGCTAGTAAACGCACTTCGTAATTCCTCGTTGATCTTACTCCCTTTGTCAATATAATAAAGATATTACCTTTCTTAGTGTATAATATAATAAAGAATTTACCTTTCTTAGTGTACAGTTTCGGTACATTTGTACCTCATCACCTCCATTTTTAGTGTTACGCTGTGATTAACTAGTCTTACCTAGATATCATTCCTTCATTCTTTTTCTTTTCTATTTAGTTTCACTCCTTACATTTGTCTGGGTCAAATCTTAAAATTAATTTTAATCCAACTTAACTTTCTGGATATATTTCAGGATTGTTTATAAAATATTTCTCCTGCCGTCTTAGCGTGCCTTCATGGTGTTATGGTCAGCACATTCGGTGCGTATTCGAGGGGTTCAAGATTCGAGTCCTGGAGAGGGCATTGCTCATTTTTCACGTCTCTCAGCATCACAAATCTTAATGTCTCTACAGTGGTACTAACTAAAAAAGGTGGTGGATGATGATTCTCCACCATCAGGATTTGGCGATTGGATCCCTTAATCCCCACTCGCCTTTCAAAATGGGTATTATATAAGTTATTTCTCCTGCCTTCTTAGCATCTCTATATATCTCTCGGCGCATATTCAAAAGGTCCGAGGTTCGAGTTCCGGCGAGGGCATTGTTCATTTTTCACGTCTCTCAGCATCAAAAGTCCTAATATCTCTATATGTTATCTGAATTACAGATTTTGTTTTTATTTAAAGTTGGATTTTTCTCATAAATCCTTGTTAAATGGTTAAACTAATTAGTATAAAATGTCGGCCCTTACACCGTCAGATAGCCTGAAAAATATTATTCAATTGTAGGTCCTTGAAAAATATAATTACCTAATTTGCTGAACTTTTTTTTTTCAAATCTCGTTCGATTTTTTTTTAAGCTCTTTGGCTATTACCGGCACCGACGGAGTTTCAAATCAAAAATTTATCCTTTAGTGTTAGTTGCCCTTGATTATAAGTGATGATAAAATCGGAGTAATAGTAAGTAGAAAGTTTAACTTTCCTTCATCCAGAGACAATGGTTTTCCTTCCTTTTTATATGCAGGTCCCGTTGACCAATCAAGTGATGTCACTATGAAAAACATCCTAATATCGGCAACCTAGGCCGAAGCATGCTTTTTGTCATATGTTCAACTTCTCTGCGATAAAACCTAGTTCGACACTCAAGGTCATGTACCATCGTGAAGGACACTGGAGCCTCATGTCTCCGCACTTCTCATCTTTGCTAACAGATGACGCCACACAAGACAACAGCAGCTATTTATTACTTTCCGGCATTCCGTAGATAAAAATTATGAAATCAAATATAGCAGAAACTTTTTTTTAAATTGTATGCTTTTGATAAATTCTCTAAAAGTATAAGTGATCGTTTTGACTATCATAACATTCTTCCTTGATCATATGTGAAAAAAAAAATATAATATATTGGTGCTCCCATATAGCAATTTTTATAGCATAAACAGAATTTCAAGTATATAAAAATGACTTACATAAGAATTAGTACATAAGATTCGATTCGCTTCCATTTCTCTATGACTACTATATCGATTTAAAACCCACCATTGCAAGCAGGTCTATCATGTTACTTTTATCTTGTGCCACTCAGTTCCTTAAATATAAGAACAACAATAAGAAAGGGAAAGGATTACTTAATATTTAATGTTTTTGAAACAAAATTTAAAATCTGCGTTTAGTAAAAAGGATTTTAAAAAGCTTTTAATAATAATAAATTTTATCATGAATTATATTTATTATGAAGAAACAAACGAAATTTAGTAAGTCTGAGTACTCAGTCAAAATTCATATATATCCTGAGGTTCTTTTTTTTTTTTCATAATTTGAGAAAAAATACTTGAGTAGCAGACCAAATTGTTCTCATTTTCTTTCTTTCCTAGAATCTTTTTAATCAAAGCAGATGCAGAGGGAGAAATAACATTTGGGAATTAGCGTATGTCTGAAAGAAATTAGATTAGAGATCAGAAAACGTAGAACCAAAATTCATTTATTATTGAAATTGCAACAATCGAGTTCTTTCTTTAATGAATGTTTTTATTAGGGATCAATAAAATTAATATTTCCAAAGCTTTGAGTTAAAATGTTTTACAGATTTTAGGCTAGGATAGGAAAACTTCGAATAATGAGAACATGATGGAGATTCGAGTTTTCGAATAACGAATATTTTCAGGAATCAGGGCTTCAAGGACTTAAATTTACTATTCATGCTTATCCAATATTAGCAGGATTAGTAAATAAGCCACCTTGGGCTGACAATACCCCAAAATATAGGGAATTATTTTTAAGCATATGCAATATAACGTCTTGTATCATAAAATGAGCTCAACGTTAGAAGACCGTTTAGTTAATAATCACTAAGTCTTAAAGTATTACAAAGTCAGAAGGGTGCAAAGACCACTTTACCATCTCAAATAAAATTCAGTGGCACCAATTAGTGCTTACAAAAGCCAGTACTTTTGGCTTAACTCGAAAGGTAATGAGTAACTTAAAACTGAATGAAACTGAGTCAGCCTAATGGCTTCGCAGGTTAACTATCGCGCAAGCTAACTCTGACTGGAAAAGCCTGCGTAAACGAATCTAATGGCAAGAACAGCTCAACGCCATATAAATCTAATGGCTAGAAAATCAAAGATAGCAACGTGGCCTTTAGGCAAGCAGAACACGCTCTGATTTCACCTTCCAAGAGCTTTCCTTAAATACTAACTTTTTCTACTTCATATGAACACACGCACTCTAGACAGCTTGCATTCTGGCAAGAATGTATGAGTTGAAAGCAAGAGGGATAGAAAAGGCTACTTCAGTATAAAATAATAATAAGTAAATTAAATAAATCTTCACAAGCAGTTACACTTATATACTTTAAGTGACTTCAAAATTCTGTTCATTAGCTTCACTGCACTTTTTTAACGTTTCCGCTGGGAACGTAGAAACAGTTCTGAAATTTTTGACCTAGAATATTATTCAAAGCGAGCAACGTTTCCCCCCCTACCAGATCCCCATGACCGTTTTTTTCCCTTATTTACTGAATTGCTTTGTGAGAGCTTTCTTTATCCAAAGAAAAAAGTGACAGAGAGAAAAAGAAGAGTTGATAGTAGCGTGACTGAGACACATGCACCACACTATTCGCTATTCAAGCGGCGGCCAAGTCTAGTATTCTTTATTTGAGCTGTTGCCATCATCGAGTAGGGGAAACTACTCGTGTACATACGCGTTACTCAAAGTATCATCTTTAAAGGTTTCACGGAAGTATAACAACGGTTTCAGCTGTAACTATTCCTACAAAATTTCATTTACATTCATTATTCATTGTTCATTCACTTTTCAAAAATAGCAGGACTCTGTGAGCCAGAACGTACGCAAATCGGCACCGAGGACAAACAACTCTTCTCGGGTTGATGCCATTTGCCATATAGAAGGCGAAAAACTCCCCAACCGGATAGTGGCTGGTGACTTTGGCTTCCACACTGAAGGGCCCGGGTTCGAATCCCGGAGGAGGCAGGGATGCCTGTAAAGGTATTGTGTTTGTGCGGCACAATGGCACTCTAAATATGCAGGGAGCCGAAAGTCCTTTCGAGAGGTTATCGGAGGGGGAAGAGGGGTGGGAGCCTTTCGGACCCATCCCCTCGTAAGGTGCTCATTCTCGAAACTGGGGGCGTGTCTAAATTTAAGTCGGGCTGTCACCTATATGTTGTTCAAGGCTCTTCTTGCCAACAACAGGCGCATATGACTCCTTGCCACAGTGAATGCCGTGGGTTTGAGGCTGACCTTTGTCAGACAATTTAGATTGTTAACAACAACAAGAGGTGGGGAAAATCCTAAGCTACTAAGGCCGAGTGGCATGATCCGTAAATGCAAAACATCCGCTTGTAGTATTTTCATTCTGATTATTGTGGGGTACTTTTGCTTATAGTGTTTAATTAGGTGTATGCGATAATGTCTCATTCACAGACTGGACAGTTTTGAAGTTTGCTTGCATAAGAATATTTCTAATAGAAATCAGATGGATATATATATATATATACATATATGAATTTATAATCATGATTCTAATTTAGTATTTTTTTTCTCTCTAGGTAAAGACGATATTTTCGGAGAGAACCCATGTATTCACACGAGTGTCGGAAAATCGAGTTCTAATGTGAGGGCGCTGACTTACTGCGACCTACATAAAATCTTACGGGAAGATCTCCTGGATGTCTTGGACATGTATCCAGAGTTCCGGGAGAACTTTTCTAACAATCTCGAAATTACGTTTGCCTTGAGAGATGTAAGTGATGGTGTTTGTTCTAATCTTTTAATACGCCATTGAATGACAAGTGAATAGCACACCATATAAAATAAGCCGAATGTGGGAAATTAAAGTAGGCATTATGTTCAGAATTAATTGTAAATTTTAGTTTATGTTATTACGGCTCTTAGATAATTAATTAATTACACTATCTCTGAAATAATCTTATTGCAAAAACCAAAATTTGGAATACATCTTTAGTTTGAATTTTTTCAAAGAGATAAAATTTTTTCCTTGGATACTAATGCTCCTCATGCATAGAAATCAAATCATTTATAATTTTATGATAAATTAAACTGAGTTTAATAAAACTGCAATAATTAAATATTAGAAAAAAATTCACATAGATTGAAATATTTGCTAGAAGAAGTCTTGAATAAAGATGATGAAGTAATGTTTTACTACTTTTATCAATGTATGTATATATATAGAGAGAGAGAAAGAGATAATGCACTTTTTGTTATTGTTTCTAATAATTAAGTAAAAGTATTTTAATTTGCAAAAAGACCATCCGAAAAAAAAAATCGTTTCACTTTTAGCTGGCGACAGGAATTTAAGAGACTGTTGGGAAATTATTTAAATGACGGTACTATTAAGCTAGGGGTAATATTAGAAAGGAAAATTTGTCGTCATATTTTGCCAGTATTTCCCAAAGAAACCTCTTTTTCTAATTGAAGATTAACCAAAATTTTTAGTTCCCATTCAATGTTATATATCGCTTTTATCACAAAAAAGTGTGTGTTCATTAATTTGCAGTGCATTCTTATTCATTTTAATTTTACTAGCTAATTGCTGTAATACAATTATAATTACTAGTAATTGCGAATTAGCTAGCACCTGAGGATACAGCACTAACAATACGACCCATGACACTTATTCTTCTAAAAGCTTACCTCAACGCTATAAGCTAACCCAAGATAGCTCTGCTATAAATATTGAAGTAATCCTATACGTTGCTGTTGTAGGTGGTACTGTGGGGTGATTTATCGCCAGGCACCGGATAGCACACAAGTACCTAGTTACCTTTATGCTTCAATTAAATAATTAACAAAAATATTATTAATGTTATTACAGATTTAAAAAATATTAGTTCATATAATTATCGATTATAGACTAAAATTACTAATTAATTTAATTTCACAGGAAGAACAAGCTGGTGTTGATCCGGAATTGTTTCGGAATAAGCTAACGTACAGGCCGGCAAGTGTATCAGAAGATGGTAAGACTTAAAAAATTTAATTTAAAATATGTATTTATAAAATTCGCACCTTATGATTTGTTCAAATACACGTTTTACTATATTAGTATATCTAAAGTTTTCTTTGTTATGGTTATTCTTATTTTGCTTCCGATTAGCTGCCTTACATAAATAAAAAAAATAAAACAGAAAGCTTTTTTTCGTCATTTTTAATACTTATTCGCATAAATATATAAAATATTTTGATTTAAATTAGGGTTACAGTTTTAATTTTCATAATTTTCATTCTCTTCTCTTCATTAAAACTTTTTTTAATGTAGCACAAAATTTAAAAGCCTTCATGAAACCAATAGAGTATAGACATTTAACTGAAAAGTCATTCAAAGAAGCGAAATTGAAAAGAAGCGTCTGAACATTAGACGCTAGAGCTCACATCTGCGGTTGCGGCTTAAGTGTGTTTCTTTAACTATCTTGAAACAGACGAATTTGGCTCATTTTTAATTAATTATAACTTTTATATAAACTCTTTCCTGTAACTTTTATTTCTTCTGTCAACTTCTCCAGCGTGCAAATTAGTGTGAGTTTACATAGAAAGCGAAGATGTAGTTTAGACTGGAAGTATAATAAATAATACATCAGAAATTCATCATTTTTTTTGTCGTGAATCCCCAAATGTTATCCAAGCTGGTATTGATCCTTTTTTTTCTGGTAATGGCTGCACTTAAAGATCATGAATAATTTCCAGCCAGGCTCTGTGGATACTAAACGAAGAATTTATTGTGTAAAAACTTGTAAAGACATTAGGATTTTTTTTTTTTTTTGGAACAAGAGATATTGAAAAATTAGCAACGCCTTCGCCGGGAATCGAAATACCTCTGAAATACCGGCCCAGCGTGCAGAACGACTACACCACGAAGGCACACTAGGAAGACGGAAGAACTACCTTACATACTCCCCCCTTTCGAGTTTTCGTTAATTGCAGAATATAAAGGTAATTTTTCCTTTATATGTTATTAATATTTTTCTCAAAAATATCATCTGCTTTTAACTTTTGCTTTAATATACTGCAAGTTTCTTTTTGTTACTATATCTGGTAATTATTAAAATAGTTTACATTTCATTCTTAAAATTGAATTTAAGTTCTTCAGCTTTTGTCACACAGGATTAGAAGCAATATTATCTGTGTAAAGATTCATAAGTGATGTAAACATTTAAAAACAAAGTTTCCGTTATTTGTTTACATCTGCCTTATGTTTCTTTGATTTTTTTTTTAATTTTTACGTAAAATAAATTACAGAATTTGTCAAATTATTTAATTCGACTCACAATAAAACAATTGCTACCTTACTACAACATTGATTACTCTTTATATTTATTATCAAATCGAAGAATTTTTATTGCTTTTAATCAGAAATGAACTTCTGTCCTTCAGAAATAGACCTTAGGAACAACAGAACATATTGTTCCCAGTCGTTGACGCTTAATATCTTTTATTTATCTTCGATATTGATACAAGTGCGCATTGTCCGTCAATATAGAAAGGTGAATAATTATTTTTTCTTTGCAATAAATGTAATAAATAAAATAACTTTTCTAAAATTTAATGCGATATCTACAGCAAAGTTTCTAAATTTACTTTTGTAACCTAATATTTGCATACAGAATAAAATAGAATGGTAACCCACATATTGAGTATATACTCCATCTGTCATGAACAGATGCATGCAGCTTGAGTATTATATATTGTATAAACTGTAATACACTAATTTAAAATTTAATATATTTCTGTTTATACGGAATGATGTTTATGAAAGAAATGCAGATTCAAATACCGGAACCTTTAAAAATTGAAATTAATTTCAGTTATTTTTTTTTCAGTAGTAAAGATTTTGTTTTATGATTTTGCGACAGTAAATATTATTTTTATTTAAGAGAAGGAGAGACATATTTCTAATATTTTATATTTTCTTTTTTTTACTTTAGATTTTACAGTGGGAAACTCATTTTTTGAGGTCTTAGATTGCAAGCTGACATTATTCAATGAAAAATATTTTTATATTTCATATTTAATATTATATTTTTATATTTATTATTCATTTTATAAATTTCTGTCCGCGTTAATATCCTTTCAGTCTCTTGGCCAATTTATTTCTGCTTTGATACATGCCATGTTTCATTCATTTATTGCTATTGTTTTAGTTACAGATATATGCTTCTTGCAGGCATTTTATCTGATACTCCCAGTATTCCTTACTTTCAGATATTCCATATTCAATTCATGAGTTCTCGTGTCTCCTTTTTAGCAAATAAGTAATATTTTTCTGTTTCAGGAGAGATAATAATTTATTCATTACGCTTTTTATAGTTTTCATCAAACTTTCAGAGTTGGTTGGAAGACAAAAACGCGAGATGTGATGAATATTCTTTTGTTGCTTTCTGGAATATTTGAGTTTACCGAACGAACAGGTACATAAAGCAATGTTTATTGAACACTTCTAGCGTATTTTCAATTCTTCATGGGCAACAGTTTATTAGATATATCGTGTTACATAATTCAATCTTTACTAAGATTTCCTTCCCAGGAACTTGCTATTTAGGACTATGGCCAAAGTCCTGTTTCTTTCTCCTATACACTTTGTGGCCATTATGATTCCGCGATTGCTTTAAATATGGCATCAGCTATATTTAAAGCAATCATCATATCAACTATTTTTTCCTTCCAAAAATGTTCTCTTTGTCAACATGGTACATAATTCCGGGAGGAAAGACTCGCGATGATGCAGATCCATGCCTTATTGATTTTTATTCCTCCACATAGGCGAGCACCACAGTCTTTCAACATTTTGTTTAGAACCAGCTATTGTTGGATCAACAAAATGAAGTTTATGGTTCACAGTAAAATATCTCTTCTGCTTCTTCCAGGTCCTCTCTTTTATATGCTCACCAATAGCATAAATAAATCATAGATCCTTCTTGTACATGGTCGTCATTTTTCGCCCTTACAGTGACTGCCTCTCTAGTTGGAACGTGAGCGAGAAGAATATCACCAGTTTCTCGAAATAATCCGCTAAATGTCGAGCGAGTACCGTGGAAGAGCCCTGCTGACTTTGTTTTTACCTCTACGAATATATTTCTTTTATGTCCACAATTTTTTAGCGCACCTATTTGTTTATTTGGCTGTCGGATTTTTGTATAGAATACATTTCTCTCATAAAACTATTCATCCCTCTCACAACACTGTATATTTTCGTAAAGGCAGATTTAATCTTTTAACTAATTTAATTTAATCATTTACTTTAATTGGCGTCAATTCCCTTGCTTAACAGTAAATAAATCGCTGCGCTGTTACAAATAATATTCTTAAACGGCTGTAACAGTTTTCAAAATGTATGCTTTCTGTTCGCTTTCAGCTTCTCATGTTACGCCTTTGAATTTTTTCATTTATACGTAGTTTATTTTAATAGCCATTTCTGAATATTCGAATGCGATTTAAATGCGTTTTCACGATTGGAAAAAAGCTACAGGATCTTCCTCACTTCTCTGTAAATATTTTAAATTTTTTTTTTAAAGGAAAATGCGTTAGCACCTCGAATGCTTAGAGCTCTTCTCGTGACGACAGAATTTTCAATGCTCGTGAATTTTTAATATTTATATGGAAAAAAGGTTTTTGAAAATATAGTGTGATAATACGTGGTTTACTCAAAGCACTTCTCATCACCAGCAAACTATAATTGATCGTCGTTGGGACTATCGGCCATTTGAAGATGGTTTGAATTGCCAATTTGTTGAATATATTGTCGCCGTTTATAATACAGGAGCGTAATAACATGCGGGAATCTGCAGCCTTAGAAGAACTTTCTGAAGAAAACTGGCTTGTATGCGTACTACACATGGAGAACACCACTGAAAAAACGCATGAACTCAGCCCGTTTACGGCTATCGATTCCATAACAAGCTACCAGTATCCGGCTTTCTTACGTATTTGGTCTTTGAAAGGCAATAGTCGAAGAATATATGTTCTCTCAATATTGATAAAGAATTGATATATTCATGATGTTTATGTGACTGGTGCAAAAGTCTCAGATTTAATCGTTTGGTACATTTTGTCATTTTCTTCCAGATTATAAATATCACGATTAACCTTTCGAGAACTTTATCTTCGGCATATTAAGAACAGCAGTTTGCTTCTGAAAATTTGTTCAGAGACAATAATCTAGTTTTAGTGTAATTATTTTAATCTGTTATGATTTTCATCTTCAGATCTGAAATGTTTTACTTCAATGTCTGCCACTGTTAATACTTTCCTTTCAGATAACTAAAATTTTAGATCACACAATTCAAGTCGCTTTTAATTTATTGCGCAGTTTACGAGAATTATTGAGATTTAACCATTTTACTTTAATAAATTTTCAGTAATGTCTATTTTGCAGAGGATCCCCGTATGTATGCTTACCAATATCCGAGACCACGGCGAAAACGTGCCACCCGCCGTTCCTTCCTCTTTGGTGATGGAGTGAGAGGCTTTAGTGATTTCGATGATGATGATGACCAGCGGCAATACAGCGGCCACGGCACTATAGAATTCACGCCAGACAAAGCAGGACAAGACATCACTCCAGCTAACTTGGATTTTGTCAGTCGTGACGAGAAGAGGCCAAGTGTAAAGCACTCCATCTCCGGTATTTGGAATGATCCTTCCTATGTTTATTTTAGAGGGGACAAATCGTAATTGTGTACTTAATTCTTTACGCGGAGATGCTTTTCAATAAAACTGCCAGTAAACTGTAATATATTTTTTTACAAAATGGCGAACAGCGTAGAATTGCAAAACAGTCTGATAGAACTCCAGATATTCCGATTAACTGAGATCACAAACCATTTCAATATTCGAAAATTTCGGGTAATTAGGGTACATTTTTTCTCCTAGGTCAAATATGTATTTTATGCAAAATAAGTAAAGGAATTTTATTTCTTTATTTATCAGATTTCTTCACAATGAAGATTATGCAATTAAAAAAGTAAAGTACTATTATTTACTTAAATTAAAATACCAAACCAAGCACATATATATGCAAAATCATGTATTGTAATTATTTTTTAATAGTTTAAGCGTAGAACTTATTTTAATTAAAATAAAACAACTATTTTAATTATTTATTAACAGAACAGTAAACCTTTGAATTTTTTTTATCAGTAGAACAGTAATCTCTAAAGAATAGCATATCTTTAAATTAGATGGAAGAGTTTTTATGTTAATATTTACATAGTTATTTATCAATAATTCCATGTCAATTTGTATCTAATAGTACTTAAAAGAACATTGTAGTGGAAAACTTTTCTGTACTATTTATATGAATGAAAAATTTTAAATATTTTAATTAATTAGCTGCAAGCTTAAGTTTACTCAATTCAAAAATGACAAAGCGAGATCTGAATATCTGGAGATCCAGAAAATTCAAATCCAAATAATTGCAGTTTTTCTGTAATTACTTAATTTACGATGGCTGAAATAAAATTTGCCACATTTAAAAGAAACTAATATTCCTTTTTTTTTTTTTTTTCAAAGCTAAAATAATGTGCAAAACACACGGTAAGATGCATCAAAGATCTTGATGGTGGAATTATAATTTGTTTTCCAGTTTTAAACTGGATATAATCTTTGTGAACATGTAATGCAGTCACTTACTTCTTTCTATTATTCCTTCCATAACAATCTGTTACTTATCATTCAGCTTCCAGTCAGAATGGCATGTAAAATAAAATCATACTGGCTGCCATTATATTAATTGTAAAATATAAATTCAAAAATTATATTCGTTTTGGAGTGTCGTCTTGGAGTCAATAAAATTTCCATTTCGCTCTTTATTTTTAAAAAGAATTCTCTGAGGAAATATGTCTTTGGCATAAAATTTAAATACTTTTCTATGACAATCTTCTTTGCATCACTTTTATGAAAACATTCCAGTTACTTGCTCTGCTTGACATATCTTTTGAAAGTGACTGACCAGGACAAAGACATAATATATAAATGCTAAACATTACTGTTGATTTACGTTTCTAATACTCGTAACCTTTCACTGTTTTCAAACATACTCACGTATGTGTAATTCTGATCGAAAACATTTCGAGTTTTGAGACGTACTGAGCTGCACTCTTGGCATTATGAGCCTGAAACTGCATTTACTTGTTTATAGGGTATCTTATCATTATTATTATTATTCCCTTTCTAAGCTTATTTTGTGCTAATTGATATAATTTATCAAATATTAAAAAATAGCGTTTTATCAAAACAAAAAGTAATACTATATGAAGTATTTTATTGAATAAACTAAACGGTATTGGAAATAAAAAATTATGTAATTATTGTACCGTATAATGAAAGAAGCCTTGCTTTAATTCCTATTTTTGAGATAACTCGAGCTGTGAATTGAACAAAAATAATTCTGTGCTTATGAAACAATGCAGTGATTAACAAGTTATTTTATTTCTTTTTCTCTGTTTTCATCTTTGCTTATATTTTATTTAAGCTTATTAAAGGCGGTTAATATTACTTAATAAGGGCAAATTAACATAGGGAGAAGTAACTGTATTTTATGATTAATTTAAAGTTCATTTCTAGGACATGCTGTTTAGATAACCAAGTATTCATTTATTTAATTAAACATTTATTTGTGTAATTACCAAAAAAATTAATGAAGATGAACTTATTAGAAGGGTTTCGCCCTGTGGAGCTTTTTAGAGCGTTTTTGTAAATTTTATGAACTGTTTCAGAAAATTATAAGAGTAACTGGAAAATACTTGTGAGTGATTTATACGAGCTTAATGGTTTCAACAAACAACCTAAAATGGCGATTTAATTATAGAAATTAAGAGATTTTATTTTTATTTATTATTTATTTATTTATTTTTTTTTTATTTTTTTTTTTATTTATTTTTATTTTATTTTTTTTTTTTTTTGTTAATTTCTAGCTAGCTCATTCACTGATTTCATTTTCCCTATTCTGTAAAACTTTTTTGCAGTACTAGTTTTGATAGTTTTTGAACCACCTTCTTCAGCTGCTAAGTGCAAATGAATCAAGTGAAGGGTGAAGAAAGATAAGATAAGGGTAGAGAAAGAAAAAAAGTTTTTTTTTTTATAATATTGGACTTTTTGATTGTTATTCAGGGTGATATTTAAACTAAATTATTATTCATTATGTTTCTGAACTCTTTACGCAACTCATATGGTATATATTTTTATATTTACTCCTATTTGTTGCTCTACTCACTAAAATCCAAAACCAAACACTTTCTATTTGTGGCACCAGATTATTACTATTATCAGTTACCAGATTATTATCAGTTCAAATTTGCGATGAATTTTACCCATAAATAGAGCTAGTACGAAATTTTCTTGTCAAATGCGAGTTTTTGTTTTTAACATTAAAATAAACAGGAATTTGATTTCCTTACAGATGCCATTGAAAGTGTCACAAACCTTACAAGTGCCATGTTTGGTGGCAGCACTACGACGAAGATGCGTTCCAGAGGACACAGCCCGCCACCGAACACAAAAGGGTCCAGTGCTCAAGATTTGAGGGTCGAGATCTGGACCCGACCAGTGACATTAATGCGTTCGTCCACTTCCCTCAAACACTTCAAAGAGAAACCTCTATCAGGGGCAGCGGATCAAGGTTTCAACAGCTCTTTTTATTGCATCATAATATATTATAATAGAAGATATTTTTTAATATTATGCAGTAAACTTCTGATTATTCGGGTACCGGATTAATTAGACACCTAATTAAAAAGAGTTAAGTTTATTTATTACGAAATGATGGACGAAATTGAGATCATAAGACATTTATAATATAATGAAAACAAAACTGTGTAAGAAAATATAAAACAGAAAAGAAAACACGTGGATTGACAACAGTGATAGCAGAGTATCATAATAGCATTTGGGAGATTTTTTAACCACAACAGTCAATAATTTAATTGCATGTAATCCGGAATATTGTTCAATTACCCGTTGTTCAATACCAAGCAAATTGCTCAATACTGAAAATAAATCAAGTGCGCAGTTATTAATCATTTGCTTCATTAATCTTCAGTAATACCATTTATAACTTGTCGGTAGTTGTTTTTATCTGCACTAGCACGCAATAGAATTGCGCGAATGTATGATATTTTATGATTATGCAAACATTGTTAAATAATCCATTAATTGTAATTTGCTCAATCGAAAAATAAGTAGAGAGTCATAAACTTCTATATTTCATCATCATCTATTCAAAATAAAATTTCTTCATTTTTTAAAGTCGCTTAGACTCCAGTTATTTCCAGTGTATTTTTCATGTTTTAAACATATATTTAATTTAAATAAACAACTCAGTTCATATTTTAGACAAATTTCTTGAAAATACAGGACTGTTGTAAATATTACTTTTCTCTTAATTATAATACAGATTAATTTCAGAAACGGAATATTTTTCTCTTTAATTGCTTCTCAATTAATCGATATTTGGAGTCAACTGTGAACATTGTCCTGAGTATTTTGCCCAGTTCTTATTAGTCTACTGAATACTAGTAGTTATTCCAGGTTCGAACTCAGACGAACGTATTGGCTTTATGGTTGGTTCTGAAGTTTTTCCCTGTGTGTAAGGATATGTTTCTCCATTTGTTTTCCTCATGTGTAAATGTCATGGTTTACTCCATGTGAACACAAACCTATTTTTCTTAGAAAGTCCTCAACGAAGATATCCTTTCTCTCAGGCAGATAGTACTTGTATGTTTTGCCATGTTCCAACCTAACCATCAACGATAAATCGGAAGTTGATTGTAGTTACAATAGTGACCCTTTGCCGCTTTACTCTATTTCTCCCAGATATATGCCGGGTAATCAGCAAATTGTCTTCAAATGGATACTGAAGTAAACATGTTTGAAATACTTAAGTAGCAGTTAGTTTCCTTCTCACACATGACCCCTATCTACAGTGAAACTGTTATGCCATCGACGTGTGCAGATCTGCCGCATTCAGGTATCCGGGTTGCTGCCATAGCCATGTGCAGATTTCTTGCTTAGCGTCTACATAGTCCGAGATACATATACTGCTAAAATAAGCTTTTGACTACCAAACAAATAAAAAAACACTTGGAGTTTACACGGAGCTGTAAGGAAGCTGTTGAAGAAATTGTTCCTGGAATTCGAGAAGTTACTTCTGGGTTGTTCGTGCCATATGAGAACAGCTTTATTGTGATGGAACAATAAGTTGCGAAGCTGTAGACCTGGGCTTTGTCAGCAATCTACAACCCGAAATTATAACTTAATTTTGCACTAGAATGCAGCAATCACATTTATTTCTCGCCTTTGGAAATAGAAGCAGATGAAATATGTGCTTAGGGAATCAAGGAAATGAGGCACCATAAATTTGTCTGATGGCCGGTTTCATTATAAACCAGGACCGAGAGAGAGAAGGAATGAAGTTAAAATAGGTATAAATGTATGTGGGGGTACCAAAATCCTTAAATTGTTTATAGCTTCTAATGATCATAATCGAGCCTTGATCATAGTGCTGTGCTACACTAATGTACATTTTCCCAGCACGGTAGCCGTTCCCCCATACCCACGACACATTCCCAATAGTCGGTGGTATTTCTCATTCAGTACGAAATATGATCATGTCGCTATTCAGTTATTTTGATAGCTGCGTCCTCATCCTTTTATTCCTTTATTTTAAGAATCAACTAGATTTTCTCTCAAATAATCCCAATAAGCATAGTCATAACTAATATGATTCTATACATATAAGTCATATCTGCTACAGTGGAGTATAAATTTCTATTTCACTTAATATTAAATATTATATTTTAAATTTTTTCTGTTTTATATTTTAGCATTCTTTGTTCAAGTTATGCATCTGTAGAACTTGTGTATCAGTGAAATATACTCATACACTCGAAATGAATGCTGCTGAAAACTGCGTGTTCTATCATTTTACAAATGCTGATAAAGTATTCATCAAAGAACTTAGAAAATTACATTTTGTCTTAATCATAACCTTAAATGTCATTTCTTCGTGTAAAATTTATCAGGCTGACAATTAAATAAAGAAATCAAAAGCATTTAAATATTTTCTGCAGTATTATCACAACTTAGCAATGAAATATAAAGCCACATCATGTAAGAAGATTAAAAAAGCATCGATAAAGATTAAATTTATTAAAAGGTATATATAACTTTCCTGCTGAATAAATACAAAGTTTCGCTCTTTTTATATAATTTTCAATTTATAACAAACTTCTTTAAAATTATCTTAAGCTTCATATTATCATTAGTTCAATAAAAATTTCTACCCTACAAATTAGATGCGTTTATAGATATTAGTAACATAGCGAAGAATAGCTATGTGTCTACGTTTATTATAATAGCAGAAAAATCGTCAAGTATAAATGAATAAATAAGTTTTAAAAATCAAAATTCTGAATACATTATACACCACACATATACATGTAGGTATAAAAAGTAGGTATTTTATGTATAATAGACGATTTAACGAGTATATATCAAATTTTTGGTTTTAAATTCATCTTAAATGTTTCATTCATCACGTTAAAACTATCTGAAGACTAATATATGAATTTTATCTTAAATTCAGTCTCTGGTAGTGGTTCAACAAGTTCCCATGCTTCTCGCAAGATGGCGGTGTTAGTGAGTCCTTCACAAGGTCCGAGTGGGGTCACACCGCATACCTTACTAGATGATGAGGAAGAAGGGGCAGAAGGTGACGTTGACGAGGATGATGAAGTTGAGAGGGGAAATGGTACGACGCCTTGTAGATCCAGATCGCGGTAAGTTGAATTTTACACAAAAGCAAACAGATGTCAGTCTCTCGCGCAGAACCTAATGCTATTTATTGCTTTGTATATACAAGCAAAATTTGATTCATTTATATTAACCAAAGTAAAATCAGTGTATTTCGTTTTTCTTGCACATCTTAGACACATTATTTTTAAAGGCTTTACATTTTGTAATATTTCGTAATATGAGTTGACCTTAATCGAATGAAACGACCAGTATTTTGAAACAGGCTTCTTCTATTACATTCATTAAATAAAATGACCTAAAGAATAATACAATAAAAAAGGTTTAGATAAGATATCTAAAAGACGTGGGTTGATTTAAAATTTAAAAAGAATGAAAATATGAAAAAATATTAAAATGTGTTTAGAGTTTATCTTAATTTTGCACAATTATTACAGTGGAACAAGGATTTTACCAAATAGCGTCCTAAAATTTACAGAAACAATCGTATAAATTTGATTTCAAAATAAGTTTCAGAAATTGGGAAACAAAATTTATTTTGCATATTCAGGAGCCCATTAGTAGTCAATTGAATAAAACCGGAGCTCTAATCCCGACGAAAGGGCTAAATTGTGATTTTCGCTGTATATAAAGAAAAGAAGTAATTTATTTCCTTCAAACGTTCTGTACAAAGGCATCTCTTCTTTTAGGCAAAAAGTCCTAATGAGCTTCACCAGTTCTGTTTCTAACTATTAGTAATATTTAAGAGATTAAATTTTAGAGTAAATATGTGACTTAAATTCCATTACCTAACCTACTCTTTTTCTAGGGATGAACTAAGATAGCAAAATGATCTGTAATTAGTTTCCCGTAGATTTTGTAGAAAACTACAAGTATACATACAGGGGGTCACCTATTATTTACCCTGAGTAAGTAGGCAAAGGCGCCTTACACTAGCTATCCAGATTAACATCGCCTTCCTGGAGCCCAAGGTGCCATTCTGATGCTGAGGTGCTACTGTTGTTTGGTGCAAACGACATCACAAGCTCTACCACCGCTGGCGGTGTCATCTATTGTCCCGTCCTTATGTTCGGACTTGAGCAGGTGGGGCATTTACACTGCGGCCTGGATTATACACTAAACATCACGCAAACGCAATGGCTATAACAGGAATACCTTAAACTGTTGCTTAAGTAATATGTTAACCTGCTTGGGGCTGGTGCTGCATTTTAAACCGCCTACGAAAGGATTGCATGTTGATGACACCTGGCCATTCGTTGCTTAGATATGCATAAGTACTACTCAAATAGTGCTATATGTCCTGTTTTATGTTGTTTGTTGTGCTTATCGCTTTCCTGTAGAGTTGTAGGAGCAAATATTGTATTTGCATTTAATTGTTTAGTTTCGTTGAAGCACTTTTTGGTGGCTAATTTGCGCTGCATAACGCTTGATTTCTGGCAGCTAGAAAATCTGTAACCTCAGCAGTTTTTTCTCATGCATATCTTAGGAGTACTTTTTGTTAGGGTTTTTACTGTTATTTTTAATTTTAAAATGAGCGACAGCTACTCTTATAGTTTTGCTATAGAACTGAGATACGGAAAATGATTAACACTTGCTTAAAATCTTGAATTTAGATTTGGTTTTCTGCAGAATAATTATTTTAGAACTAAAAGCGTACTTAATTTTATAATTTGATTTTGAAAAGAAATAGGAATGGTAAACTTTGTATAAGTTACGTAAATTCGCAGGACTAGTTTCGAAGGTTTGAAGAGAGACATACAGTTGCAGCAGAATAACTGCTTCAATAATAACGGAGAAGTCTGTGCTCATTCGATAACAATAAACCATAAAAACAAAATTATTTGCGCAACCTATTGACAAAATGTAAAACAACTACTAAATAAAACTTTTAAGGAGTTTTAAGCTTAAGCCAATTGTTTCATAGTTGATTTCCCATCTTGTGAATAGATGACACCAGTAGCTTAAATTTTCTGGCTTATTATTTTCTCAGATCACTGGCTTTACTTTTGTTACTTTCACTATTGCATCTGAAAAAGAAGGTTCAATTCAAACTGCCGAAATTAAATAAAACTTAAGCTGGCTATCTTTAACATTTCTTAAGCAGTATCTTTAACATTTGCATTTCAGCGTATTGTCGTTAATATTTAAAATATACTCTAGAAGATTTTCAAACCTTTTTAATGTGCAAACTGTGTAAGTCAGAAATAATTTGTATTATTTTTTAAATTTACAGGTATATTAAAATTTTGAAATGGTATAATAAAGTTTTAAAACATTAAAAAACATAAAGTGAATAAATTAATCTAATTATTAATCAAGCTTTATTAAATTAGCTTATTTGCAAACGACTTCAAAGAATTCTTAATCGCCATATATTTTAATATCAACTCTTCAATTTAGCGGGTTTTGAACTACAAATTAGGCTCTTAAAAAGTCTGCTGAAAACAATAAAATTTAATACTCGAGTAGGTTTAATGAATTTTTATTGAAAGATTTTTTAAAGAGATTATGTCTTTCGTCCTTTAAATTTAAATGAGTTTTTCCTCTGAAATTCTAGCGATCATCTTTATGACAATAGTTCTGGTATTCAGTTTGTTTAGATAACTGATTTCCGTTTTTAAAAACTACTTCAGGTAAGGAATTTAATGGCGAACAAGAAGCATTTAAAACAAGAAAAATTTATTTAGATTTCTAGGCATTTCATTTCTACTTTAAATCCTATTTTTCTGCAATGCGAGGGAAAAAAATAATTATTATTGATTTTTCAACTTATAATCTGCAGCAGACCTAAATGTTTAAAAAAAATAATTGCCTGCATACACTCACTCAGTAGACTCAGTCTTCTTTATAAAGTCCTTCATAATTGAATTTTGGTTATATATTTTTATCTTACATAAGTAAAGAATTTGATGAAAATAATTAATTATTTGCTTATATAAGTAAGGTAAAAATATGTAATTAAATCTAATTTTAAAAATAATCAAAGTAATTAAATATATGAAGGTATTTAATTACTTTATATAATCTTTACTACATTTAGATTTTAATTTTTTTAAACATAGATTATACTCTCTTGGAAGTTTAAGAAACACTTTAATTGTAAATTTAGATTTAAAGAAAACATTTGTGTAACTAATAAAGCATATTGAAGCAGTTATTAAGATCTGAAACAGTTGAGCTTTACTTTAAATTTTCTTTTTAATTTAATAAACATTTAAAAACTTATGAAATTGTGTTACTTGAATCTGCATATTAATTATACATATTTTAATGCTTCAAATGGACCCATCAGGAGGTTAGGATCCAAAACATTAAAACTGGACAATTACCGACTGCATATTTCGTTCTTCACTATTTGAACGCAAAAACAAAATTGCAAATAATCTCAAAATCTTTACGAAATGAACACCTCATCTCATACAGTCAAGAATATGCCCCAGCGTAAATTCAGTCTTCAGAAATTTTAATTACAAAAATAACACGTTTTAAAACGAGCTTTACTGTTAAATGAAAAAATCTGATGTACACCACATGACTCCATTGTATAAGTAAGGTAAAAATATGTACGGAATATTAGGTTATACGTATTTTTACCTGCATTTCCTTTAAACTTATTTCCTCGAATTTCATTAGAGATATACTTCTCATTCAGTTAATTCCGTTCTCATTCGCGGCAAGGCAAAAATACATAAAAACTCAAAATATCGTCATTAAAAATTGAAAAATATGGAAAACTATAAAACAATTAAAAAACCAATTTTTACAATTAAAATTACAGTTTCTACGCAAAAACAAGCAATTTGGCAAGCAGGAAAGAAAGCAGCAGAAAAACTTAATTCCCTATTCTGCTAATTTTCAAATATAAACAAATATGGCTACTGTGGTAAAAATTTAGGCTTAGCCGCACTATATCAAACAATGCACGATATCAAACAATAATGGCGCTATGGAGGCAGAATAGACACGGTTGGAAATAAAGTTGGGCAAATTGAAGAAAAAGTTTCTTATATCAGAGAACAAACAAAAGAGAGAGTTTCGGCCGTGGAACAACAAATCGATCGCAGAGTCTCATATGTCAAAGAACAAATAGAAGAAAGAGTTTCTTCTGATAAAGAATAAACAGAAAAGGGAGTTTCTGCAAGCCAACAACAAATCGGACTACAAATTGATGACAGAGTTTCTGCAGTTTCCAAAGAAGTTGATAATTTAAAGAAATCCCCGTGATATTCGCCAACATCAGTGATAAAGTGAGACTTATTGGAAAAGGTGAAGTGGTTGCAGCATGTACGCCAGAGTGATCAGCATGAAACGAAACAGTAACACTCCAGAATCCGTGTCTTTACAGAGCATTATATCGGAGTTATTGCAGAATGCACAATTAAACGATGAAAAAAGGAATGCTACCGAAAGTGTCATTCAAGATTTGCTAGATGCTTTTGTTCGCTCTTCGATACCGGGGTTCATCCACCAATTAAGCAACATCAAAGACGTCTACCAACTGCTAATCAGGAAGAGGTTAGAAAACTTTTAAAAGATATGAAAGACAGCGATGGCATCGAACTTTCAGCATTTCAGCAGGTCTAAGGACATCTCACACTGTCTTTCAGAAAGAAAGACGGTTCAACAAGATTTTGCGTTGCATATCGACGGCTGAATGAAGTTACAAAGAAAGACAGCTACCCTTTTCCTAGAATTGAAAACATTCTGAACACTCTTTCTAGAAGCAAGTGGTTTTCGATTCTAGATCTAAAAGGTGGGTACTGGCTAGTAGAGATAGGTTCTGATGAGCAAAAAAGGTGGCATTTACTACCGGACAAGGACTTTGACAGTTCAAGGTGATGTCATTTGGACTATGTAATGTGCCGGCAGTATTCGAACGCGTCATGGGGACAGTTTTGAAAGGTCTTTCCTTCGAAGCCTGTCTGATATACTTGGAGGACATCATCATCGTCGGGAATAGTTTTGAGAAACATATAGATATCTGAGAAATTTTCTTCAGTAACTGAAAGAAGCCTATCTAAAGTTG